CGGCGTCAAACAGTGTGGTATTTGATGTGCTCACGGTTCTGCAGTACCTTGGCGATAGAATGTCAAGTCTAGTTTGTGCAAATTGATTGGTTCGTTTCGCTGTCGTGTTATAGGCTGTGTCAAAGATCAGTGTAAGAATCGTTCGTGTGTGTGGTGATTGGTCAGTTTAGTGATCAGTCTCCACAGTTATGTCGTTGTGTTCTACTCATTGGTTATACTTACGTCAACGTCAAGCTACGTTGTTTGTAAGGTTCCTGTATTTGTCGACATTTGTTGAAACTAGTTTGTTCTACGCTGATAAGACAGCTTTCATAAGTCAGTCGTTGGAGGCAGTGATGAAAGTCGAACACTTATCAATGTAGACATTGAAGTTTGCAAATGGGTCGTACCCAGCAATACGATGGCTGGCATTAAAACCTTTTGTTTCCGTGCAAGTTCAGTCTACAACAGTAAACAGTGTCATATCGTCGTTATGGCTTTGTGAATGATACACCGTCAGCTTAAGAATCCAGAGGGATCCGGTAAGTGTCCTATTTCAAATATATCGTCATCGAAGTAGCAGTTAGGAGTATGTTCGTTTCAGTAGTGTCAACAGTTAAAGGAGTGTTCCCTTTATGCAAGTCAAATTGTTTGTAAATAAGTTTCATGTAGCCGTTCTTCTTGAAAACGTTTTTATCTTCTGCACAAAATAAACTAAATTAAAAAAAAGGGCCATTGTCTCTTGTCGGTATTACTTTATGGCCAGAGCAAATAGATGCAATTAAGGTGGCACTGTAAACTACACGATATGAAAATTGTGCAAATCAGTCTTAAGTGGCTAATAATTTCCCTATTTTGATCAAAGGTGCACAATCAGAAAAACAAATAAATAATCTTTTTCTTCTTTAATAACCATGGAAATATTGCAGCGAAGTGACACCTCCAATTATTGCGAACAATTTTTAGTTTTTTTAACAAATCGATGCTTCTCACTCAAAAAAACTTAAGATTTCATTTGGAACAATTGTTTTATTTTCTTTATTGACTTGTAGTTCCACCTTAAACATTATTTGCGGCCATAAAATGTTGTATTTATAAGCTATGTATGGTGACTTGAGGTACTGACTGCTTTGCAATTATGAAAATTTAGATCGAGAAATTGGCCAAATGTCAAAATCTCAAATTCGTCTTCGCTTTGGTTTGATGAGCAATAAATCGTGTCAACGCAGAAATTTATTTGAACACACTTCATCCAAGGATAAATACCGAGAAACTTGTGCCATAGATTTCAATCGAAAACTCTTCTATCCTACTGTGTAAAGAAGCGGTTGTATTAAAATGAATTTGTTGACTAATTCATCCCGAAATTGCATGTTGATCAGCAAAAACAACCAGTACCTCACTAAACTATTTCGTTGATCCCGTCTACTCGCTCTGGTATTTTTTAGCGCATGCAGATAATTCACAGATCTGATCTGGTGCGTCCAACCAAGAGTGAAGTTTATGAATATATTTTGACATTAGTTCAGTCACTATTTTACAAAAAATATTGGTTAATGGAAAGTTCTTATCTTTGTTGAATTTTCTCCTCATTCCAGTGGTTCTAGTTGTCCTCTTGATCCATAGTTCACAATCCCTTTCGTTTTCACCAAGATGGCTTCCCAAAATACAAACATAAAATTCAACTGATAAGCAACAAGCGAAGATCTTGGTTAACTGACGAGTGATATGCTTAATTTTTTAACATGCAGTGCATAACTGAATGCGCGTTCTAAATAAGATTACAAAGTTTTTAATGGATTTTGTCCCGCTTCATAAACTCCACGGGTAAAGGTGGAAACATAAAAGCTCAAAATGTCTTAGGACATAAGAATTGAATAATACAAAGCACAAGGCCCCGAAGAAGACATAAAATATGCCATGGGTTTCCTGAGCATGATATTCTGATTGTTTCTCTATTCTTAAATTTTCGTTTGTTCTGGTTGAGAACTCGCTATAAAGCTTTAGCTTCTGTGCGTAAATAAAATGTTTCTTGTCTTCGGCGACCGACGCCCAAAGCTGACTACTTGTGTGCGTGTTGATTCGCGAAGGTAACAGTCTGTAGTTCATCTCTCATATTTGCCAAAAAATAGTACCTATTTACCTTTGTTGAAGTAGAGTAAATACTTCATGAACGTTTCTTCAATTCGTACATCTTCCAAGTTCATTCCAGTTCGTATGCAGAGCCTCTTCGTAAACTCCCTAACACGTCGACTACCAGCGTGGTTTGCTGTGTACTTTTCGATTTTCATGAATATGGATTAGAAAGCAAAATCCAATCACTGATGTTGGCACAGGCACGATTTTGTGGCACATTTTTAGTAGCCGGCCAATCATAAAGAAAGCTGCAAGAATAGTTATTTTTCATGTTTAAATTCTTTGCACGTTGATGAGCGCATTAAACATTGTATTTTGCTTCCTTCTTTGTTATGATCATGGATAAATACTTCTATATTAGAAGTTGCACACTTATAATTTTAAGGAATAAATGAATGTTAACGGTAATAAAGAAGGATTTCGCTTTTTGGTTGATATGATTAATGGGGGGAGGTTAAGCGACCTGTAGACGGACGAGGAGAAGTGAACTATATACAGTTGAGGCCGGGACAAGCTCTAAAGATGAAAAAGAACGAAGTAAGTAATCGATGCTGGTATTCTCCAGAGTGAGAGAGAAAAGAAAAAGAAAATTAAAAAAGAAATTTAACCATTTTTGCGCGGGATCGAACTTTGTACGCCTGTTTCGCAACTGTAGCTCACATTCACTCCACCACACACCAATCTGGCGAAGTCAGCTTTTAAGAATTTTAATAGAACTCAAAAATGCAAAACCAAGTGGTTCGAAAAGCAAACATAAATAGAAAAAAAAAAATCCAGTAACACATATGTTCGTAGAACTCTCTCTTAGAAAAGTAACGGAGGAATAAGATAAATCGCTTGTAACTGCGAAATAAGAGGTAACATGTTTTTTTCTTTTCACGCGTTGAATGCTTATATACTTTTCTGTTATTGGTCGAGGAATTTTCACCCTTAATGTTCGCCTCCTTCGCGGGAAATTATAAAATAAATGAGGAACCGATTTCAATCTCATTGGTTAATAACCTATACTCTATCGATCTGTTGGCTTTAGCCCTCAAGTTCCATGATCCAACTAGTGTTTCTCTCTACTAACTGCTATAAAGTTCCTTGTAAATCAGACCGGAGAAATTGGTGTTATAACAACATAACACCTCCCTTCGGACAAACTTGTCTATTCTTCTTACTTGTTTGCAAGATAGCATATTGGAAAGGCAAGGAGAAGTTACAAGTTAATCAGTTCCGGGGTTTAACTCCACTAAGGTTATTAGTTGAACACTCCTGCTTGGGTTATTGTTATCATGCCGGTAATGCAATAAAAGGGCGGTATACAGTGGTGGATCCAGGTTTTTTTGTATACGTTCACTTGCCGGCTTTTCTTCGTTCTGCGTTTATTATTTTACCCAAAGTAAAGTGGGGGAGGGGGGGGGGAATGGGCCCCCTGAGCCCCTCCCCTAGGTCCGCCATAGGTATATCCCTTCCTTACTCCCTACTTATCTTCCAAACAATACAGCAGCTGTGAATCGTGATAAAGAAAACAAGATAGAACAAAAGGATGTTTTTTACTTCAAAAATTATCAAAACATTTCTCTTCGATAAAACTTTATCAAGAGGATGAGTGGAAAGTGGGTTCTGAATTATTGGTAAAACTTCATGATAAAACTTGGGAGGCTCCATACGGTGTAAACTTTTAATCACGAAAAACACACCGCTCGAATTCGAAGTCAGGCTGATCGCTCGGTAAGCGAACTTCATATCCACCGCACTACTTGAAAACAACGTGAGTGGAGACGGATATTTTTCATGTCTGAATTATTTCAAGTATTGGTTATACTTAAGGTTTGCCTATCAGGTCAGGTGTACACTCACAGCAGTCCCTCATTCTAGGCGAAATACGTCGCCTACGTAGAAAAAAAAAAGAAAAGAAAAATCAGCGTAAAAAAGTATGTTAGTGCGATGCAAGAAACTTTGGGAGTGAAGGCACCCGATTTTTGCGGATCTTTCCAGATAGCGCAACAGAGTGACAAAGAGATTACACGCAGAGAAATAAGTTACTGACAAGGAGAATTGTTTGCCATTCAAGAGCTTCTTCAGTTGGCGATCATTTCCGTTATTCTCGTGATCCTGATGTGTGATTCGGGAATTTTATTGTAAGGACAAACAATACCGATTCTATGAGAATAGATCGTTTTCACCCTTACGCAACGAAAAAAAAATCGAAAACTACTCAAGGGATAAGGTCAAGAAATTGGAATGTTGTAGGAGATAGGAAAGAAAGACACTCCTTCAAGTCTTAGGCCTTTTCGTTTTTCCAAACTTCAGATATTCGTCGAAATGTTTTGCGCAAATTTGCAGGGCCCTGTATGGAGCCGCCATATTGGTGCATCTCTTTGGTGCACCAGTATGGCGGCCGGAAAATAACGCGAACATATGGAACTTACTTTGGCTATCAAATAGACTAGTTATCTAAACTGAACCGAAAATCATTAACACATGCACTTTTCCTAACCCTTAAACTCCTAAAAGGGCTAAAATCTTTAGATAAGTGTATATTTCGACAAATACGATCGGATGGGTAAGTCACACAACGCCACAACTGTGAACTGAAACTGAAACTGCGCTGGTTTCCAAACCAAGCACGGTGTTAAGCTAAAAAGTTGAAAAGAGATGTGAATTTAAACCCTGTTCTGCCTAATGATGATAAAATCTTTCGTAGCTGTTTAGTTTTAAATTTCAAAACTTAATGACGTCGCGTGAAAACGATCTATACATGATATCGATTTACTTGGGCGGTCAATTTGAAGAACATTCCTATGTTTTCGCCACCAAGCGCTACAAAGATTTGACTCTTGTGATCTGACTGGTAGATATTTCAACCGGCCACAAACTATTTGCACTGGTTCATGCCGTTTACATATCGAAGCTGTACATTTTTATTAATCCCGTCTAAAGCTATCTATAGGAAGTTCTTCACGGGTAAGTTTCAGGCTCTCGACACCGTGAATCAATAAACAGTCAGAAGTGCTGTTTTTCGTCTGGGAAGTTTGATTTGTACTATAATTTCACCATTTTTTGTATAATTATATAAAAACAAGAGTATGTTTTGCAACTGTCCTTTCAAGTATTTTGTGAATACGTTCAAATTCTGCTGTCAAAGCAATTATGCCACGCGTATCTTATCATGTTCGCCTGTTCCGTTTGCGGTGCTTTTCCAAATCTTCTTGTAGATTAGTAGACCTGCACGTGTTAAGGTAGCTTGCAGTTACAGTGAAGAACTACAACTCCTGTCATGTTCTAGTGTGACATACAGAGTTGTGGACAACTTCTTTCTCACTTGACTTTTTGGCAAACCTTTCTACGAATTTCCGAAATGTTTATAGCCGGCAATAGTCAATTTCAGGAATACTCTTGTAAGTATGTTCTCTCTTAACAATCTAAATACATGTGTAGTATTGCCTCGGAATATCATCCTGTCACAAATCCGTGGAACAATCCGCATGTCTCAAAATCATCTCGAACAAAGCATACGCAGATGCTAAAACATTGCTATGCTTCCAGCAATTTGATTTACAGCATCTGATTCCATAAATACAGAAATCCGGTCCACAAGTACATTTGTATCCTTCAATAAAATGGCACCCAGTTACTCTCGTCTTCAGGTATAAGGTTTCCTGTTATAAGCAGAATGACATCCACAATCCACCAGATTCCCAGGCCCCCAAGTGTAAGGAGTTTACCCACAGCTGTGCCAGTGTGTCCCAAACAAAAGCGGTCTACACCAAGGAATCCCAATAGAATGGAGTACAGAAGAGTTGTCACAAAACGGTGACCCGAATATCTGTTAAATGAAAAAGTAAGGATGGAATCAATGAGTAATAACAAGACAGAATCAATGGATTCGTGAACTGATGAATTCACGAACGAACAAATAAATGAATGAATGGCTAAATAAAAGAAAGGTTTGAAAGGAAGAGTGATTGGATGGATGGGATGGATGAATGGATGGGATGGATGGATGGGATGGATGGATGGGATGGATGGATGGGATGGATGGGATGGATATATGGATGGATGGGATGGATGGATGGATGGGATGGATGGGATGGATGGATGGATTGATGGATGTGATGGATGGATGGGATGGATGGATGGGATGGATGGATGGGATGGATGGATGGGATGGGATGGGATGGATGGATGGGATAGATGGATGGATGGGATGGATGGATGGATGGATGGTATGGATGGATGGATGGGATGGATGGATGGATGGGATGGATGGATGGATGGGATGTATGGGATGGATGGATGGGATGGGATGGATGGATGGGATTAGATGGGTGGGATGGAGGAGATGGATGGGATGGAGGAGATGGATGGGATAGATGGATGGATGGGATGGATGGATGGATGGATGGTATGGATGGATGGATGGGATGGATGGATGGATGGGATGGATGGATGGATGGGATGTATGGGATGGATGGATGGGATGGGATGGATGGATGGGATTAGATGGGTGGGATGGAGGAGATGGATGGGATGGAGGAGATGGATGGGATGGAGGAGATGGATGGGATGGAGGGGATGGATGGGATGGAGGGGATGGATGGGATAAAGGGGATGGATGTGATGGAGGGGATGGATGGGATGGAGGGGATGGATGGATGGAATATATACTTTTCGAAAAAATTTCCTCGACCCGCAACGAATGTTCTTGTTGCGCGACAAGTGGAACATCGAACCAAAACATGCAAAACTTGTATTTCGCCGCCTTAAGGGAATAGAAAGACGGATAAGTGGATGGAGGAATAGATGGATGGAAGAGTAAGTGCATGAAAAACACATATTGGATGAAAAAGTGCCTTGTGCAAAGGAATATAAAAAGTCAAACAAGGCATATTAGTAACATAAAAGGCCAAATACTTTCAGAGTTAAAAAAAAAACACTTTCACCAATTATTTTCAGATGTTTAATGACTGATCTTATTCTACTGACCAAAATTATGTGATTTAAATGAACAAACTAGATTTAATTCTTTAAAAGTAAAACTTATCATTATTATTAACATTAGAATTATTACTATCATTGCCAGCATTTTTCTGCATTGAGGAATATCAAGAGTTCACAGTTCTCACCAAACACCGCACCGCAGAGTGGTGTAGTTTTCTATTTGTTACACCTAATATCTTGCAAACAATGTACTCTTTTTTCTCTTTTAAGTATAGTTTCTTGCAAACTTTTCTTTTTGCGACCTATTTGATATCTGTAATATCCCACGTACTGTTTCCCCTTGGTTACATTTGCTAAGTATGGTTTCCAGCACACTCCTTATTACGCGTCCTACTTGTTACGTGTGTATCTCGCACACTGTTGTGTGTTCTGTTTGTTACGGGTAGTATCTTATAGCGCACTGTTTATAATATTACGTATTCTTCTAACTTCTTCTCGCCGACTGTTTGTTCTTTGTTTTGTTTGTTACATTTAGTGTCTCGTACCGCCTTTTTCTTTGCTTCATTTGACACGAGTAACATCTAGCGCACTGTTTGTTCTGCGTTCCATTTATAACGTGTTGCATCTCTCATTGTTTGTTCCGTATTCTATTTGTTACGAAACTTCTATCGCACACTGTTTTTCTGTGCTCCATTTGATGCGTTTTCTATCAGGCACACTTTTCCTTCTGTGTTCCACTTATGGCGTAGAGAATGTGGCAACCTCTTTGTCCTGTGTTCTATTTGTTACAAAAAGTACCTCGCGCACTGTTTATTCTATGTTCTATTTGTACGAGTACTATCATGCGCACTTTTTCTTCTGTGTTTTATTTACTACGAAAAGTATCTCGCACACTGATTATTCTGCTTTCTTTTTGTCCCGAACAGTATCTCGCGCAATATCTGTTCTGTTTGCTCTGCATTATCGAGTGCACTGATTCTTTTGTTACAAAAAAAATATTGCACACTGCTGTGTAATACATTTGCAATGAAAGGAATCTTGCGCAATCTTTATGTTGTGTTCTATTTGTTTGTCTGTTCTATTTGTTACTTGTAGTATTTAGCGCACTGTTGGTTCTTTATTCTATTGGTTACTTGTAGTATCTCGCGCACTGTTTGTTCTTTCTTCTATTTGTTACTTGTGGTTATCTCGTGCAGTGTTTGTTCTCTGTTCTATTTGTTACTTGTAGTATCTCGTGCACTGTTTGTTCTTTGTTATATTTGGTACTTGTGGTATCTCGCGCACTGTTTGTTCTATGCTATAATTGTTACTTGTGGTATCTTACGCACTGTTTGTTATTTGTTATATTAGTTACTTGTAGTATCTTGCGTAGTGTTTGTTCTTTGTTATATTTATTATTTGTGGTATCTTGCGCACTGTTTGTTCTATGTTCTACTTCTTACTTGTGGTATCTCGTGCACTGTTTGTTCTCTGTTATATTTGTTACTTGCAGTATCTTTGTTATATTTGTTACGTATGGTATCTTGCGCACTGTTTGTCCTCTGTTCTATTTGTTAATTGTTCTATCTTATGGACTTTTTGTTCTGTTCTATTTGTCTCGTACATTGTTTGTTCTATATTATATTTCTTACTTGCAGTATTTCGTGCACTGTTTGTTCTCTGCTTTATTTGTTTTTTGCAGCTTCTCGTGCACTGTTTTTTCTATGTTATATTTGTTACTTGTCGTATCTCGTGCACAGTTTGTTCTATGTTATATTTGTTACTTGTGGTATCTCGTGCGCTGTATGTTCTATGTTATTACTTGTAGTATCTCGCACACCTTTTGTTATTTGTTATATTTGTTACTTGTGGTATCTCGCGCACTGTTTGTTCGTTGTTTTATCTTTGCTTGTGTTATCTCACGCATTGTTTGTTCTTTGTTATATTTGTCACTTGGTATCTTGCACACTGTTTTTTCTTTATCATAGTTGTTACTTGTGGTATCTTGCGCACTGTTTGTTTTATGTTCTATTTGTTACTTGTGGTATCTCGCGCACTATTTGTTCTTTGTTATATTTGTCACTTGCAGTACCCGTGCACTGTTTGTTATTTGTTATATTTGTTACTAGTGGGATTACATATTTGTCACTTGTAGTATCCCGTGCACTGTTTGTTATTTGTTATATTTGTTACTAGTGGGATCTCGCGTGCTGTTTGTTCTTACACATATTTGTCACTTGCAGTATCCCGTGCACTGTTTGTTATTTGTTATATTTGTTACTAGTGGCATCTCGCGCGCTGTTTGTCTTATACACATTTGTCACTTGTAGTATCCCGTGCACTGTTTGTTATTTGTTATATTTGTTACTAGTGGGATCTCGCGCGCTGTTTGTTCTTATACACATTTGTCACTTGCAGTATCCCGTGCACTGTTTGTTATTTGTTATATTTGTTACTAGTGGGATCTTGCGTAGTGTTTGTTCTTTGTTATATTTATTATTTGTGGTATCTTGCGCACTGTTTGTTCTATGTTCTACTTCTTACTTGTGGTATCTCGTGCACTGTTTGTTCTCTGTTATATTTGTTACTTGCAGTATCTTTGTTATATTTGTTACGTATGGTATCTTGCGCACTGTTTGTCCTCTGTTCTATTTGTTAATTGTTCTATCTTATGGACTTTTTGTTCTGTTCTATTTGTCTCGTACATTGTTTGTTCTATATTATATTTCTTACTTGCAGTATTTCGTGCACTGTTTGTTCTCTGCTTTATTTGTTTTTTGCAGCTTCTCGTGCACTGTTTTTTCTATGTTATATTTGTTACTTGTCGTATCTCGTGCACAGTTTGTTCTATGTTATATTTGTTACTTGTGGTATCTCGTGCGCTGTATGTTCTATGTTATTACTTGTAGTATCTCGCACACCTTTTGTTATTTGTTATATTTGTTACTTGTGGTATCTCGCGCACTGTTTGTTCGTTGTTTTATCTTTGCTTGTGTTATCTCACGCATTGTTTGTTCTTTGTTATATTTGTCACTTGGTATCTTGCACACTGTTTTTTCTTTATCATAGTTGTTACTTGTGGTATCTTGCGCACTGTTTGTTTTATGTTCTATTTGTTACTTGTGGTATCTCGCGCACTATTTGTTCTTTGTTATATTTGTCACTTGCAGTACCCGTGCACTGTTTGTTATTTGTTATATTTGTTACTAGTGGGATTACATATTTGTCACTTGTAGTATCCCGTGCACTGTTTGTTATTTGTTATATTTGTTACTAGTGGGATCTCGCGCGCTGTTTGTTCTCATACATATTTGTCACTTGCAGTATCCCGTGCACTGTTTGTTATTTGTTATATTCGTTACTTGTGGTATCTTGCGCACTGTTTGTCCTGTTTTATTTGTTAATTGTTGTATCTTGCGGACGAAGTATGTTGCGCAGTTTGCGATATGTTTTATTTGTTCTAGTAATATCTTACGTACTGTTTTTTCTCTGCACTCTTTGAAAAATACGCGCACTGTTTGTTTTCTGTTCTATTTTTTACGTGTAGCACCTTGCTCACTTTTTGCACTCTGTCTTATTGTTAGGCAAAATCTCAAGGCTGTTTGTCTTGTGTTTCATTTATTACTTCTAGTGTTGTTTGATAAAATTATTTGTGACGTAGTTTAACTTGCACACCGTTTGTCCTGGATAGTCAGATTTTATTCATCAGTCGTTTGATAACAGACCGTATTGGACTCCATTCAGTGCTATTGCTACTACTTTTTTGTTCTGTGTTGTTCTTATTACGTGTAGTATATCGTGCACTGTTTGTTTGGTGAACCATTAGATAGCTGCAGTATCTCACTTATTTTTTTGTTTTTTGTTAGTTACGTGTAGTTTCTCGCGTGTTATTAGTTTTATTCCTATTTTTTAAACGTAGTTTCTCGTGCGCTGTTTGTTTTTTTATTTTCCATTTGATAGGTGTAATATCTCGCACGCTATGTGTTCTGTGTGCTGTTAGTTATGGTTATAATTGTGCCAATACGAAAATGCTGGAATATGAATGGTTCTCAATAAGTGAATGAATGAATGAATGAATGAATGAATGAATGAAGAAGTGAATTAGAAAAAGAGATATTTCAAGACAAAATGTCTTGTTTAGAGGAAGAGAAACATTTTATAAGAAACAATGGATAAGTTATTCTTACCAGCAATTACACGATGTACAGTCAAGTAAGTTGTCTGCAACTCAGTAACACCCCTAACATTTTTTCCACCTTGACAATAACTCAAAATTAACTTACTTGATACAGGGAAATTTTTTTAAGCTAAGAAATTTTCTTTCTCCAAAGCACTCAATTCCAGGTAGTGCTTCACACCAAACCCGTGTGTGTTGAACGTCTTCATACCTTGAGCCGCCGAACTATAAACAAATACATACATATCAACTGTATTAAACACGGAAAACTATCATTAATCAACAGATAAGCACCTGACTGAGTTGTTAGTTACCCTTTACACCCATACATCAGGAAGTATAATCTCCGTATTGTTCTCCAAACATCTCCAAAGGAGCTGACAACGAGAATTTGATCAACAATCAAGAGCTTCTATAGTTGGTAATCGTTTTCTTTGCTCTTGTGACCTTAATGTGTGATTCAGGGGTGATGTTAAAAGGAGAGATAAGAAGCTAGTCACATTAAGGGGCTAAAAGGTTAAGGCCCCGAACTCTTCTCTGAGTGGTCCGAGGTTTCAGCTGTCTACTCAACAACCGTGATCAGATTTGTTATCACTGAGCTGAAGTTTAGCTCCAAGGATTTGCTATGAGTAACTTTTTGAGTCTTATATATACCAAATATTTATTCTCTGTTTGCACAAGTTCTGAAGGGTCTTATTAAGGAAATGGCTAATTAAAATAATAACACCATTTTGGTGGAGGGAGATGCAATGGCCAAAGGGGTTGGTACCCTAAACTTCAGAGAGAAGAGGCCAGTGTCTAAGCCCTGGCCAGGCCATTCTGCTGGTCCTGAAAATTGTCGCCATATTGAATTGCAATTACCTCCCATCATTCTCAACAGTACCAAAACACCTTTGGTTGTGATTATGGGCTTTTACATTGACACACCCTGCTTCTTGTGGATTACTTCAGAGAACAAGGGCAATTTCAAGCCTATGGGTGTCAAACTAGAAATGAACTCAGTGTACAAGCTTACAGAGTCACCTGGCCCCTTTGTTTCATTCAGGGGCTGATTCTGCAAGGATAATTTAGCACCTGGTCACTCTTACATATTAGTGGAAAACCTTTTCATGTGGATCTGAGTTTTAAAGGTTTGGGTGTGCTTTGACTTCAAAAGAATCAACTAGCATCAGTTTTGCTTGTGTCTTCTACTGTTCAAATTTTTCTTTAATTTTCTGTCTTGTGTTTTGTTGCAACTATAAAATAATAATCAAGTCATATTTGAATGGAGGAAAAATATTTGAATAAGAAGATATGCACTCACTTTAGAGCATCCATAGCCAGACACCTCTCGTGCAGTTATGTTTGACGTAAAATCAACTGGTGGATCACACTCGAGAAAGTCTATAGGTCTGAGTGAAGGAAAAGAATTAAGAGTAAATATTAGCATTCAGCATTCATCACTGCTAAAAAATTTCATTATAGAGCTAGCAGCACGAGCAGGCAAGTGAAGCTCGGGATTGCCCATATTGATCCTGAGCAAGAAAAAAAAGTGCATGGAGTAGATTTACAAAGTTTGTAACTTTTGGACGATGTTGACAACAAAGTCACAAAAAGCAGCAGAAGCAAGTCAAAACAATGAAAAAAAATTAAATGACCCAGTTGGGTTTTTACTATGCTTTAAACACAGTTGGTTTTCTTTCCCGGCTCTCTGAATAAATGAGTAATTCTTGATTCTTTTAAAAGCAAAATCTTTTTGCTATATAATAAATAATTTGTTGACCAACTTTTTTTGGTCAAAATAGCTGAATATTAGCCTCGTTCTTTTTTCTGCATTTCTATGGACCTAGTCTAAAATGTGTACCACAATTAAACTCTACAAACTACCTCACATTGATCAGGAGGTCTTTCTCTATCAGAATCAAGAGTCAAACTTTTCTCTGGTGATGGTTGAATGAAACACTTAATTTTTCAGTATCTGCTCCATAACTACCAAGACGCAAATAAGCAAAATGCATTTAATGCATTTGATGAAAAAGGTCAAAGATAACCTTTAGCTTGATGTAATTTTTATTTTGCATTGTTAGATAGGGATACTTATTTTACCTTTTTTATATTTTTAACTTTATTTGAATTTTTTTAAGCGGACGAAATTCTTTTTGGTAGATGTAACTTATTGTATTTTTTAGCAGATACATTTTCAAGCAGATGTATTTTGTAGATGAAGAGTCACCTTGGAAATGCTGAATAAAGCCATTATTATTATTATTATTACTATTTTTATAATTATTATATTAAATGCATCTAGTTCACCTTACAGAATCAGATCCTTATCTCAATGAATACATTCATTTCAACTAAAAAAACATTGACACTACAAATGAATGGCACTACTCTGGCTCCCGCTTACTGCCAAACAGCCTACCAACAAAGGGCTAACGCTCGAACCGTCAGCTTTTGTAATCGTTACGGTGGCCAGTTTACCATTTCAACTTTGTTGATATATCCAAATTATTAGCCTACCAACAGAATGTTTCATGAACATTATTTTTGTAAATGTTCTGTCATAGTGCTCCTTCTCAAAATGCTCTTAGTGTACCAAACTGTAGTAAGTGTACCAAACAATACTCAAGTGCATTTTTGCATCTAGTAGATAATTTTTATCATAACAATGACCGCAAGGATGGTTATTCAGACAGTGTAATTTCGTCAAATGCTATCACCAGATTGACCAGGCGAATTGCCTCCATTCCAGGCGAACAGACCCTTACTGGGAAAAACGACCTTAAACCTCCAACACACACACACACACCAAAAAAAAACTTACAGTCTGTGATCTTAATATTTCGACTGTACACGTACACTTTCCATGAAAATCGCAACCCAATAGCCCAGAATAGCTCGTTTAAATAATAGAAGCGAGTTTTAATGTATGCCTAAAGGAACTAATAAACAATGTCTCGTATTTTAATCCAGTAGAGCATAAAAATGAAGAAAACGAGGAAGGCTTAAATAAAAATGTACATACATGATCGGTGTACATCTACAGACCTTCACAAGAAAGAAAAAGAAATTAATATATATATAGCTACATGCAAGCTAGTTTAGCGGAAGTTTATCTTCAGGTAACTTGGGTGTTCAATCGAAAAAGGGACTTACAAGTAACTGCAGTTCACCAGCGGACCATTCGGGTTATACTTCTCGTTTTTATCGACAGCATCTTCGCCAACATTTTCACTCACAAGAAAGGAAACGATGAAGTATACTTTGGCGAAAAGACGTAACCCTTCCGCCATTTTTGAAAGTAATATCCCAGTACCACTGTGAGTTGCGTAGCACTAAAGCAACAAAGGCGAGGCTACTAAGGAGATGCCTTGTCGATTTTGTTTCTAATTTTGGATATCGCTGCTCTTATCCTTTGAATTATGGACAGAACGGCACTTTTCAAAGCCACTGTGAAAACAATACGGACTAAAAATAAAGCCCATGGTGTCAAAGAGGCAGCAAAGGACATTTTGGGTTTAAAAAGACACAAAGGTGAATTTGGAACGAAAGCGAAAGATGTGGTAAGAAGACAACCCAATCTATATATTTTAGTCTTTGTACTCCATTTTTTTCAGTGCATCCTAATAAACATATTGTAATAAGCATGGTTCACTGGGGGTGCTTTCTTATTCAGGATTGAGTTATTTTGACATACCAAATTTTATACAGACTTCCGAGGGAAGATCTCCGCGCTGCCTCATACATTATTATACGTACAGTTCCTGCATAGATTAAAACAATGGCGAAATGAAACAATAGATTTCCCTATAATACTGCAAGTCAACAGCTTTGTTTTACAATAGCATGGGGCTGTGCGGAAATCTTACCTTTTTTGGGTCAGTAACTTCCCTTTTGGGGTTAACTGTCTTAGGGCAGTCTTGAATCCAGAAGAACTGCAAATAGACTACGTGTTCTACAAAGCAGTTAACAACGAGGTAGCCATAAAATTACCTGAGGATCTGAAGCAGCCAATAAGAGCCACAAGAAACCACCATTCACAATCTTTCATTCAATTACCTACTGGCCCTAATTATTATAACAATAGCTTCTTTCGAAGGACTGTCTGTGATTGGAACTCTCTAAATAACCAAATCGTTATGGCTCCATCTCTAAATTTATTTAAATGTAAAGTATCAGAATTTCTTAGATAAAATTAAATCTATTAAATATGTGACCTTTTTTTATAAATTTATTGAACTTTTTATATATATGATAAATATTATGTATTATTATGTATAGAATTTCCATTTAAGAACTACTTATTTAGATCATAATTATACCTTTTTTGTAATTATTATCATTTTATTGTAACTATTATTTTTAAAATCCTTGTGTACGAAAGTGTTAAGGACAATAAATGTAGATGTAGTTGTAGAGAATTGGAGTAGATTGCATCAGTTCACTTGTAGCTTGATGGTGTTTTTGTGTTCTAATTCTCTTCATTTGAAATTCACCTTAATGGTTTTATTGTATATTAGACAAGAATTCTGATTAATCAAGAGCACTCAATCAATATACCATAGCATGTGAAGTTGACTGACCGCCGGCCAGTTAGCTCAATGGATAGTGCACTGGACTGTTGTGCAGGAGGTTGAGGGTTCAAGCCCCGGCCAGACCAACACTCAAGGTCTTAAAATAATTGAGAAGAATTTGCTACCTTTCTATAACATTGAGAAATGGTTAGATATTCTAGTCTTCTCAGATAAGGACGAATAAACAGAGGTCCCGTCTCCTGCAGGGTTGGGGTAGGAGACATTAATTTCCCACACACGAGATTACTGTGTGGTGGATGTCCTCCCCTGGGGTGGGATGGGTGGGAAGATAGCAGGTCCACATCAGCAAATAAGCTGCCATAATTCAACCTGCTCAAACAAATAAAGGAGATGAGATGAGAGACATGAGAAATACAATATCTGCAGCAGATTGCAATTGTCGTGTTGAGTTCAAAGTCTGTGTAGTTTCTAGCTTCTTGTCTGTGTAGTGCTCTCTAAATTTTGCAAACTTTAGAGAAAATCTTAGATGGCTAAGCATTGTAAAAAATGTGTAATAAAAGAAATTATTGACTTCGTTTTTTGTATGATATCATGAATTATCAAACCTTGTGTCTGTGTTATCTGCCTAAGCCTTTGCTTCAGTAGATAACCTAGACCTTGGCTTTGATAATTTATTTTCAATCTCATTCAATAATTGCTCTCTATCTACCCAAAAAGTAAACCCTCAAAACTTGGAAAAACATGTTCAAAAAAAAAAAGCTGCTTTTTTTAATTTTTTATTGTTTTATCAAAATTACATGATTAATCAATGCTAAGTTTAATGAGGCTGCTCTCTTCTATAACAGCTTTACAATATTACTAAGCTGAGAGATTTCCTACTAAAACACCAAAAGAATTACATCAATCCATTCAGGTAAGCAGACTTCTACATTGTAATTAGTAACAGTATAGAAATTATTTCATGATAGTATATAAAGTAAGTTGGCTGGTTAAGTAACGGCTTATTTAAGAGTAATTTCGTTTTATCAACTGAGTTGATAATGTTGATTGGCCATCTTAAGAGGTTTCTATAGCTGATGTTTTGGGCATTACGTAACCCCTTTGTCAGAGCATTCAAGGAGATTGCTATTTGAGGGGAAACCTTTTCCTTTTTTCGAGGAGGGCTGCAATTGGTTTTTATTACACGACTCGGGCAGTCAGAGGGCCAATAACTAAAATTAACCAATCAAAATGCTCTATTGCTGGTCAATATTATCTCAGTATTGGACTGGGCACTGTCCCGAATGGTCCCAAATGATCCCACACGTGTGTCCCTTTGAACTTCAGTCGTATAATAAATCTCGTATTAACCAAGCTTGCTCGGGACCATACTGGAGGAATATTGGCTCTCTGTCTTTTTTGTACAGACCGAGCTGCGCTCGGTCCGTACTGTCAAGACCTCGGGCCAATATTCTCCCAGTACGGCCCTCGCGCTTGGTTAATAAGATACATAAAAATAGTGTGGCTGATATGAGGGGTGCTTACTCCTGCAAATATGCAACATTGAAAAACATTAACTCAGGACCCATCAAACAATAAACCTGAGGCATTCAACTGAGAAAATGATAAGTCTATTGCCCGTATAAGTTACTGATGAGTGCATGGACTTCAATCATTCAAAGTGGTTGCTTATTTGGGGGCAAGCAGAAATTTTAGGATTTACAATAATTATCTCAATCATAAAAGCCAATCTTGAGGGCTGACATAAAAATAGTTAATATACACCGGTGATCTTAAATCACTCGGATCAATAGTAATTTTGTAGGAGGTGTATTGTAAGAGTATTGTGAGGTCCAAGCAAATCAAAACTTTTTATTCTTATTGATACAGTAACCTAAGTTTAGAGTTGTCTAGTATGACAGATGAAGAGCGAGACCAAATAGACACAGATGCAGAATCGTACATGAAAACATGCTCAGTTGCTATACAAACTCTCAAAAGTGAAGGTACTGACACATATACAGATATAATGTTGTTATTTATAACATCTTTGGAAAAATCCACATGAAATTAGCAGTAGCACTTATTATACAATATCTAATACATATATTTGTCAGAGTTAACTGGTATGTCTTACCAAATGATTTAAGGTTAAAGTGATATCAAACTATAATTTAATTTGTAGTTACACATAACTTTGCGTGAAGTCTATAGGAATTTACCTGGAACAAAAGAAACTATGGTACAAATTAAATTGATTTAGATTTATTTTTGACCTGAAATTGATTTAAAGAGAACCATGCACACAAATCAGTACATTGTTCTCTTTTTACAGTATTTTTTTGTCTAAGTCCTTTATTTTTAAAATTCGAGTTTCCAGATGAGATTTTCGAATTTTAAAAATTGTTTATTTCATCTTTACATGCTAAGTCCTTTATCTCATAAAAATTATTCTGTGCCACACATTTAAGCAGATCAGTTTTAAAATTTCAAATTGGTTAGGTGCATGGTTATGAAATGTACAGTAATTTTTGTACTTTTAAAAAGTATTCTCTAGAAAGCTGATAATAAACAAATTAATCAGATTGAACCTTGATACCTAAAATTTTGAAACATTGCTAAGCAAAACAGATGAAGATTTTTACCCAATCCATATAGGCTTCTCAAATACTCTTTGTAGCATTACACCAGAAGAGCAGTGAACAAGTAATGACTCACAGAGAAGTTGTACTGGAAATGCTTGGACAATATTTAAAAGGTACACTGTATGCCAAATTACTTAAGATCATTCTAATCTACAGTGTACAACTACCTAGCAGTTCAATTAATTTTCCAATGAAAAATAGAAGACAACATTCAAATATTAGTGGTGAAGTAAATTTCTCTCTGTCTGGTTTGAAATGAAGCAGTTCCAGATTGAGGGGTGGTGAACACTATTTAAGTTAGAGACTAATGCAAGAGAGTGAGACCCTTGTTTAAAAAACTAAGTGTAAGACTTTATGGCCATAGCAATACACATTCTTGTTAATACTTTTGCTTTACCCAGATCTTTGCAAGGTAGTACTAGTGATGACAGGAAAAGGTTGGGTTAGAGTTACAAGTTCTGGTCTCTTTTGCTATCAGCTTCTACATTGCAATATTTTCAAACAAAAGGGATCATGTACATGTACAGACTTTTGTCACTCACAAGGATAACTCCAAGTTACTTTGACTTGCTTCCTTTTCACTGAAACCCCTAATTATATTATTTATTAAGAAAAATCTCCCAGACTTTGAAAACATAGAAAGAAAAGCAATACTTTGAGACTGAAAAGATAATGATCCATTATTTTTTTGGGCACCATTAATCAAATTCAGATTGTTGATTTTATGTGGGGCTTGTCCACTTGGTTTGATAAAATATGTAGGGTACATTTCTACAGTTTTCCACTTTGTGCATCCATCTTCAAGGACTTTGTGTAAGCTACTCTTTTTAATATAGCAGTATTTGTTTCAGGAATTGCCAATCACATGTGGTTAAAATTCTGTAACTTCTTTCTTTAGTGGTTTGCAAGTTGTACAGTGAACAAAGAGCAATCCGAGTTAAGAGAGTGGTGGAAAAGAAGCGAATGTAAGATCATACTCTGACATGTAGAGTTTAAAGGAAAATGTTATATGTTAGATGCACCTCAGGCCCCGGTTGTTCAAAGGTTGAATAACGCTAAATCTCTATCCTGTGGATAGGGTATTTTGCTATCACTTATCTGCTGGATAGAGATTTTTCTGTTGGATAATGTCATCTGCCCTTTAAACAACTGGACCCAGAGATTTGGTAATGATAACAAAATTAATTTCAAACAGCCTGTCACAATCAATTTTCTTTTACTTTTTCATAATTAAAATAAGATCCAGACTGCAACCCGAACAAAAAAGATTGAAACAAAACTCACCTGGACAGCTTGATTCTAAATCCTCTACCTCAGAAGTCAAAGATGATGTTTCAAAAGGTTGGTTACAGGACAAATTTATTGTCAGCGCATACCTACACATGCCTCATGATAAAATGTAACTTTTCTCTTGTTCATTGTTATTTTCAGCTGCCATTTGTACATAATGTAATAAAAAATAAAAAAAAAACAAGATTAATTTATCAATTGAAAGAAGGCACACAATTGTTGGTGGAATTGAGAGATTGGATTAGAGTAATTTTGTGACATGAATAAAAATTATTATCTATTTATGATAAACTGTATACTGCTACTTTATCAGGAAGGGTTAGTAAAGATCTGTGAATGATGTGATTCTTATGAATGACTGCACCATGTTTGCTGAAACACACGCTTAGTTTCTGAATATTTAAGACCAACAAGAAACATTTCACTTGTTGTCAGGCAAAGAGTAACTCTCATTTAAGACTTCAGTTTAGAGAATTTGTTATTAGATCAACTTATAATCCCCTGATTGATTTATTCCTTTATTCTCATTACTTGTCCGCTTGATATTCTATTAAGAAAATGGATACTGTTGATACGTCTGATATTGAAAGGAGGAATTCTGTCGTGGTCACACATAGGAGTTAAACGGTGAAAAGGCTTATTAAGGGATCCTTAATTCCTCATAAATGCTATTAAATAAAAAAATGGTTTACATAGTTAAAATATTCTTCCAATGAACCAGAGATAGTCAGTACTGTTACGTCAAGATTTGCTTTTCTGTACTTCCAGGAGAATCTACAAGTCTAGCACAACCATTAGATTTGGCCCCTCCTCCTGCTGGGGAGGATGAGGAATTGACAGCAGAGGAAATTCAGATGGTATGCAAAGGAAATATTAATTTATACAATATTACAGTGACCATAATTTATGTAATAAATAACTGATCATGGGGAAAGTTTTCAAGTATTACTTTTATTAGATATTTTTTATAATATTGATTGTTTCATAGTTTTCTTGTTGTTTTGTTTGTTTGTTTTTTCATTTAAGTTTGAAATGGAAAACCAGAGGTTGTTTACAGAAATGAACAGTTTGGTGGATGAAGTGAGGTATGGTGATGAAATTGCAGTTTAAATCACAGTCTTACAAAGGGTTTCTATGGAATTCAGAAACTTGATTCTTTCAACTATCTTTTACATGTATAGATTTTTTTCTATCATAAACTTGTATGTTGTTATTATAGGCAAATTGAAGGAAAAGTGGTAGAAATATCTCAGCTTCAAGAAATCTTCTCTGAAAAGGTTTTACACCAGGTGAGAAAGCCACCTAAAGTACTTAGTTACTTGATGATTTAAAATGTTCTTAGAAGTTAAATTATAAATTAAATTGCTAAGATTTCAGTCTGCATCTAAACCTGATGATTAAGTTAGTGAGACTTTTGGGACTTAAGTTTTTAGTAGAAAAAGTCCATCCAGCAGTATCTTTTGTTCATTCAGTCTGCACAGATTGACAGAATACATGAAAAGGCAGTAGGAACAACAGAAAATGTCAAGGGAGGAAATGAACAGATAAGAGAGGTACAGTGTAAATATCGTCAACCCAGGGGTTTCAATAAAAGCTGGTTACTAGCATTCTACTGCTCACTGTGAGATCTCTTACTGCTCTCTGTGTTTGGGTGGGGTTTAGGTTTCACTTTATGGCCCCTTTTACAGGCATAGTCACCTATTACAGGGTTCATACAGGTCCTTGATAACCTGGAAAGTCCTGGAAAAAGACAACAGTTCCTGGAAAGTTCTGGAAATCTGCTTAACTCATTGACAAGCAATAAAGTTTTCAGAATTAAAGTTATGAGAAATATATATATATATATATAACAAGTTAAAAGGCCTCGAGCCAACAGTGACGTCGCGCCAGAAGGATCCAAAAGGATTCACAGTCCAAACCTTGATAAATAATAGCAAAAATATTGTAGTACACAAGGACGGACAACTTCGAGCTAAGAGAGACATATACTCAAATAAAAAGTCTAAGTAAGTTTAATAAAATACGTTTTGGTCCGAGACCTTCATCAGTTGTAATACAATGACTTACAAAGTCCTTAAATAGATTTATATAGGGCGTGATGACACATGAACAAAAACAGTAATTACTACGCAAAAAATTATCACACTAAAAAAAAATGGAAAAATTGTCAAATCCACTGAAAATGTTAAGGAACCAGTGTTTACTTGAAAGGCGAGAATTGTACTAAAATTCCCAATTAACGCTGAGACTGGGACCTTTGATGCCCGCCCAATTTGAAAAAATTCTCCGCGTTAATTATAGTTTATTCTTTTTTTGGAGTGAAATTCCTGGCGCTTATTCAAGCCGAAGGGTGCCAGAGAGAACAGCTGTGCGCTCCAATATGCTTCTTTGGTAATTAGAAGTTTCTCGATGTTACCTGAATTGTTTACTGTTGCCTGCACTTGATCAATGCATTGGAATGAGAAATCGCTTAAATCATGTGGTGTTTTGTTAAAATGTACCGCTACTTCACAGGTCTTTTTCTTAGTGACCATAGCAGACTTGTGGTTGCGAAATCTAACCCTAAAGTCATTTGTTGTGGAACCAATGTATTGTAGGCGACATTTCTTGCACGAAGCCAAATAAATTATGTTCTTAGAATCACAGGAAAGTTTCGATCGTATCTTGTAACTTTTGCCTGTTTGAAAACTTAGAAAGGAATTAGATTCAACCAAGAAGTTGCGACAAAGATCGCATCTTGTTCTATTACATTTAAAACATCCCTTGACCTCGGCAACCCCTTCGCTTTCAGTGTTAGGGCCATAACGGGATGGCGCCAACAATTCTTTAAGGTTTTTAGATCTGCGGAAGGATGCTATGATGGAATTTGAAGGAAAAAGCTCTTTTAACTTGGGATTGGATTCCAAAATACCCAGATGTTTTTTAATGATGCGACTTACATCAGGTAAATTTGGATTAAATGTGGTCACAAATGGGAATAATTTCCTCTTAGATCTGGCCTGAGTCCTAAGTAGATCACTTCTAGGTATGGTAGAGGCCTTACGAAACTGGTCGTCCACTAATTTGGAAGGGTAACCCTGAGTAACCAGATAACCCTTGTATTCGGTTATTCTCTCCT